GAGGGAGGGGATATCAACCCATGGGGGGGGTGTCTCTTGGCTTTGAGGTGGACCCGTTGTGGCTGGCTCCCTGCTTATAGGGACCAGAACGCTTGCTCCTAGCTCCTGTTACGCGTGTCAACGTGCCCTTGGACTGAACAGAGAGAACAGCAAACCAGGACTGCCCAGACACTGGAGGATGTCAACCGACTCAGGGTGATTTTTATCCATGTCCCTTTATCATCCTACAGAGCAGCTAACCAGGGCCACCCTCACGGCAGCCCCGTGCATTCCCCGCCGCCACCAGAGGAGCCGGGATGGGAAGCAGCCAAAAAGAGGAGCCCAGCAGTGGAGTCCTGGCCACTTTGAGCGAGGCAGGGAGTGTGGCACCCACCTGGCTGGGTGGTGGTGGTAGGCAGGGGGATGCTGGTGGTGGTGGTGGTGGTTGTGGTGGTGGTGGTTGAGGTTGTGGTGGTGGTGGTGGGCGTTGTTGTGGTGGTCATTTTTGCGGTGGTGCTTTTTGCAGTGGTAACTCGCTGCGGTCGCTCATAGGCTAGCAAGCAAAGAGAAGAGGTGGGAGGCACTTACTGGGGGGGAATGGAGGGTTTCCTTGCCAGCCCGCACACCCGTGAGGCTGATGCTGCCGGGGCTGAACTGGTGACCGATTTCTCAGCGCGGTTACAACTGGGGCACCGAGAGGATTAAGGCGATGGTGGCTTGATGACGCTGGATGCAGTGAACACGTGTGTACGTGCAGGGGCCGGAGGCTGTGGCTCTATCAGCTTACTCTGTTGGTGCAGATATTGGCTTAAATACTTACAGCTCTATCATAAACTAATTGCCAATTAAGCTGAAAAGGAGAAATGAAAGCAGGCCTGGGCAGAGATGGGGTGAAGAGCGGGCGGGAGGTGCAGCGGAGCCCCCAGCCTGCCCTGCCGGTTTCTTCTGCCTGACGTCTACGTGCCGGCGGGCAGAGCCCTGCCTACCCCGGCTCCACAAACAGCACCAGTCCCTTCTGCCACCCCACAGGCAGCCAGCTACCTGGGAA